AATGGATTGTATGTCTTGACTTTGGGATCTCATGCTTTTATTGCTGAATCACAGTTGAATTCCTCCTTTGAACTCTGGCATTTGCGATTGGGTCATGTGGCTTTTGACACCATTTTACTTTTAAATAAATCAGGTTGTTTATCTGTTACCTCTATTTTACCTAAATCAGGGCTATGTTCATCTTGTCAAATGTCTAAAAGACATCGTTTACCATTTGAAATTAATGAACAAAAAGCATTGCACCCGTCAGACCTCATTCACTATGATTTATGGGGTCCATCCCCGGTTACATCAGTTGATGGTTATCGTTTTTATGCATTGTTTGTGGATGATTTCTCATGCTTTAGTTGGCTTTATCCATTAAAAACGAAGTCTGAATTTCCAAGCATTTTTTCGGTTTTCATAAAATTTGTAAAAACTTAGTTTTCTCGAAAAATCAAGGTATTTCAAAGCGATGGAGGAACGGAGTTCACCAACCATAATGTTCATCGCATCCTTGAAGAAAATGGGATGTTTCACCGGTTTTCTTGCCCGTATACCCCTCAGCAAAATGTAAGGGTTGAACGGAAACATCGTCATGTGATTGAAACTGGATTGGCTATGCTCTTTCATGGTCACGTACCACCTTCATATTGGGTGAATGCGTTTACCTCGACAATCTACATTATTAACCGTCTCCCAACTCATGTATTGGATGGTCAATCACCATTTGAGGCCTTATTTTCCCACAAGCCTTCTTATGCAAATTTTCGTGCATTCGCATGTCGTGTATATCCATATTTACGTGATTATTTGAGCCACAAGTTGACTCCACGAAACATTCCTTGCATCTTCATGGGCTATTGCTCTCGGTACAAGGGTTATAGGTGTCTTGATCCTATCACCTCTCGGATATACATTACACGACATGCTCGCTTTGATGAACGCATATTCCCGTTTTTCAAGGATAAATTAGTGCAACCATCTGGCTTATTACCCCTACACTCCTTTCTGGATGATAACCCATTTTGCTCACCGAATTCTCAACCGATTCTTATCAATGATACCCAACCGGAGTCGACACGCCCTTGTGGCATGTGTTCTGATAACATATATGCTACGGATCTGCCTGTTAACAACCAGCCAGTCTCCGACGAGGCGTCTGGATCCCGCTCCAATCCGACAGCCGCATTCATTGGAACTGCAAATCATCCAACTGAGTCTGGCCCTACCACAATACCGCCTTGTCCACCTGCTCCTTCTCATCGTATGTGGACTCTGGCAAAATCATGAATATTCAAACCAAAATATCATGATGACTTCTCTTACACTACTCATCATGCCTTGTTTTCTGCCTTGTTCTCAGCTCGTGACCCAAAAGGTTTCAAAATTGCCGCCAGAAGCCCTCATTGGAGGACAGCCATGCAAAAGGAACTCGTTGCTTTATATAATAACAATACTTGGACGTTAGTTCCAAGACCAAAAAGACGAAATGTTATTGGTTAAAAATGGTTATTTCGCACAAAATACCGTTCTGATGGTACCATTGAACGTCACAAAGCTCGTCTTGTTGCTCAAGGCTACAGCCAAATACCCGGACTCGATTTCTCCCACACGTTCAGTCCTGCTGTGAAGGCTTCTACTATACATGTCATTTTGGCCCTGGATGTTCTTAATAATTGGGGACTCCATCAGCTTGATGTAAATAATGCGTTCCTTCATGGTCACTTAAATGAACGTGTGTATATGGAACAACCTCCAGGATTTGTTGATTCACGGTTTCCTGATCATGTTTGTCAACTTAACAAAGCTATTTATGGTCTAAAGCAGGCTCCCCGGACATGGTTTCAACGACTAAGTCATTTTTTTGATCCAAAATGGGTTTTCATGTAGTCGATCTGATCCGTCGCTGTTCGTTTTTACATGGGATTCATGCATTATGTACTTACTGGTTTATGTTGACGATCTTATTTTAACAGACAATCAACCCAACCTTCTTACATCTTTCATTGCTCGACTCAATCTTGAATTTGCTATAAAGGATCTTGGCAGTCTTAACTATTTTCTGGGGCTAGAAGTCACTCACACTAATGATGGCTCGTTTCTAAGCCAATCTAAATATGCTCAGGAAATTCTTCAACGAGCTGATCTTCTCGACGCCAAACTTGTTCACACTCCACTGGCCACTAATGAATCGGTTTCCACAGTTGGGGAACCGTGCAAGGATCCCTCTTCTTATCGGTCACTTGTGGGGAATCTCTAATACTTAACTATTACAAGGCCTGGCATCTCGTATGTCGTGAATCAATTCACCCGCTACTAGCTAGCTAGTTTTGTTGAACACGCCTTAATATGGAGATGGTACACATATCACATATGGTAGTAAGGTTGAGGTAGGCTCTACTTTTATTTTAAAGTAATTAAAATATTTAAATAAATTGAAATAAAAACAAATTAAAATGGACAAAACAGTCTTTCAAATTTTTCGAAGATGAAAATCACAAAAGTTTAGTTTTTGTTTTTGAACTATTCGTACAAGTTTGAAAAATAATTGGACCCCTTCCACATGCATTTTTTTTTTGGCAAATTTACACTACAATTAAACTTAAAAAGTATATAATGTAAAATGGAAATTGACTTGAAATATCCAGGAAAGTGGATCACCATGGTCATTGCTTCCTTATTATCGGCGACGGGATCCTATTCTACCGGCCTCTTTCAAAAAGCAGTGGCACCTCGAATATTCTGCATATCTTAATTCTCACCGATCAAATATTCAACATGAATTCGTAAATAGTTGCTTTTTTTCATGCCATAATAATCTCAGAAGTAAAATGGATACGAAAATTGCGAAGAAGATGATGTTGATTTTGCTACTGCTTTACGTAATTAACAGTCTACATGCATCCTCGGATTGATCGATTCATCTCCAAGCTAAATCAAGCTTGGTTTATGTTAATAAGCGCGGAGGAGGTGGAGGTGGTCATGGTGGCGGAGGAGGTCATGCAGGTGGTGGTCACGTAGGTGGTGGCAATGATAGCAGCGGAAACGGAGGCAACAGTAGAGGTGGTGCAAACGGTGCTGTTATCCCAGCGCATGCAGTCGGTGGTCAACAGGGTCCTGGCCGGAAGAACGACGGCAGCCTCCATACGGCTTCTCTTTTCCGATTGACGTCCACTATGTTAGGTTTAGTTGTTCTATTGTGTTTTTTTTAGGATCCTCATACATGCATATATTATTGTTTTTTATAAAAAAAAAACGTAATTAGTGAATTTTTTGTTCGTGAATGAAAATCTAGAATTTTAATATAATTTTGTATTTACATTTTGAATTGGTTAATGTGATTGTGGCCGTAATTTTTCAATGATCACGAAAATGACCATGTTAAAACTTTTTGCATATTTCGTAAAGACAAAATTGCAAAAATGGTCCCTATGGTATGCAAATTTTTGGGGTTTTAGTGCAAACTCCGAGTTTTTTTTGGATTTATAGTCCTTTTGGAGTGGTTTGTATGTGGAAATGGTCCCCGGATTTAACTTCCGTTAAGTTGATGCTGTTAACCCCTCATGTGCAGTGGCGGAGGGAATGGAGGGGCTGCCGGATGCCTAGCCCCCTCCAATAAAAATCTTATTATGATAGATATAGTATCTTATTAAAAGCCCATAAAATAACAAAAAGTGTATACGTCGGTTAGCCCCTTGATCTTTATGATTGTAATGCTATTAAAAAATCATATGAGTTTTTATTTGGATACAACATCTTGGTTGTAATTAAGCAAATGGAGTAAAAGCCCAATAATATCCTATTTTAATTTAATTGGTATAATTGGCTTTGAAGTTAGAATTCAATATTAAACCTAGCCACCAGCCACAAAGACGTAAATTACATATCCTTTTTTTTATAGTTAAACGACGACTTTGAAGACTAATTTTTTGTTTTTGCTTCTGCCCCCTGCTACACCAATTAATCTGGTAAACTTTTATTTTTATTATATTTTGTTTTACTACTAATTTGTAATTGATAATATTATCAATTTCTAAATCAGGATTAGTTACGATGATATTGTTTGATTTTATTACAATTATAAATTTATAAAAGAAATCATAAGCAGTGATATGGTTTGATAATTTGTTAATTACAATTATAAATTTATAGGTGAAATTATGAGTAAAAAAGAACCATCGATTCTTTTTTCAAACAAATAGAAGATATGCGTGATCCAAAATTGCATCCGGTCAGTTATAATAATAAATAAGATGTTCATAATACACACCCACAACCTGATAGGATGGAAGAGCCCAATAATATTGAACCTGAAAAATGTGATATATCCGATTTAGGAGAGGTAAAATTAAATTCTTTGATATGCCTGATTTTAATATATTATTATGATGTGAAGTTGTCAGCCCCCCTTATTCTTAAATCTTGGCTCCGTCCCTGCTCATGTGCCTCCCACATGAGGGTATATTTGACTTTTCACTTTAAAAAGACCATTTTTGCACAAAAAAAATATATCCCCATTTGTTTAAAAAAATTAATACCTATTTATTTATTTTAATAATTAAAATATAAAAGAGTTCTTTCTTTCTCTCTCAATGAGTAAAAATAAAGAAACCTCCCAAATTTCTTTGTTTCTTTCTAAACCCATTCACCACCTCCACCTCCATGTTTAGGGTTAGTGGTTATAAAAGAAAGCATGCATTCTCATCATTAACACCACCATTGCATCATCATTCCTGCACCACCATTACCCCCGCCATAGACCCACCACCGGTAGCCTTGGACCACCGTGAATCACCACCATTGGCCACCATATTTAACCAAAAGCCCCCTCTTTCCCATCTTCTGTTCCGATAATCAGTCACCACCACCGTCGTTGTTGCTATGACCATCCAACACCACCCAGCACCATCTTCCATCCAAACCCCACCACCACCAAACGCCCATCACCACAACTGTTGTGGAATTTGCGACCAACACCAGGTCCTTACCCTTCCCTCTCGTTGAACTCGTCAGAAATATCAAGGAAACAATGCAGCAGAAACTGAGTTCTCAACATCTTCACCCTTTGAATTCAACGGGAAGAAAGATAACTCCTTCCTCTGACCCGATTCAACTTCATTGACCAAAGTCAAACCTTTTCTACATCCGGAGCTACCGGAAACAAGACCCAATCTTAGCGATAAATCACAATTAACTGGAGACGATGGCGGTTGTGGTTCTTCACCAACGGTTTTTTTAAGATTAAACCTAGAGAAACTTGTAAACGGAGGCGACAAACGCTCATGAACCGTTTGGAAAACCGGTTTTCCGACGATTATCCGGTTTGAATCTTCATGGGTCGTCAGAAATCCAATTATCGGTTTTCGAGGTTGAAAATGGACGCCACGGTATAATGGGTACACCGAAGATGAAGCTATAGAAGCTTGATTTTCCATTAATGACAGATAAAACGAGGGACCAGAAGTGGAAATATGTGTTTGATTTCGTGTGTCGATAATTTTGGGTGATTTAGCATCAGGAGCTTGGTTTCTTGGGCTTAAATAGCTTCGGGTGTTGCTGCTTCTTTAGCTTCTTGACGTTCTTTCAGGAACACATCCCGGATTAAGTGTGCCGCTGAACACAATTAATCAAGAACTAAAAAAAAAAATCTTTTTTGTCTTAAACTCAAAACCCATGAGAGAGAGAGAGAGAGAGAGAGAGAGAG